TGTTTGGCACGTGACAACTTTTCTCCGCTTCCTCTTTTAAGTTGGTTGTTTTTATTTGATAAGCTTATTAGAAAAGTGAAGAGCACGGTGTAGTTAGGCAAAGCCACGGAGAAGGTCGCGATGACATTGTCGTCTTACTTGTGCAGAGTTCCACAGATTGTCTCTGCATTTCCATTTCCCGTAACGGTGATTTCGTCTGTGCACAAATTTTCTAATGTATGAAGGCTCTAAAAGCACGTTAAGTTTGTTGCTTTCTTCTTTTGATATTCGGCGGTCGGGCACGCTGATTACGTACGACCCCTCTCCCATCGTGGAGACCGGGACGCTTTTCAAACTAAGCTATTCACGACATTGAAGCATGTTACGGAGGATTTCGTTTCTTGACGTACTGTAGTCCGCGGACGCTGCCGTCGGTGTACATACATCGTTACTGCTGCACACGGAAGTGCTCCCAGGAGGGAATGGCCTAGGCAGCATTCAGCATGTGCCCGCAGATCACGCCATCTGTTGTATAATCCTCTTAAAAAACAACATCGAATCCATGAGCGTTAGTGAGACATCACGCTGTCAGCTAGCGGTGGACCACCTCCAGCTGGTAACGGATCTGCCCCGGCGGCCATCTCGAGTGCTCGTCATTCCGTGGCCCTCCGGTGCGTGCGCGCGCCGAAGCGTGGCGTGAGGGACAGCTGCCGGCTTCCACGCACGTGCCCTAGGGGGGACTGGCCGCACGCCAGCGCCGCCGACGACCACCCGACAGGTTCATGTGTGCTCGCGGCGGCCTGATGAACCGTCTGGCCGCGGTTTTGATCTGGACACTCGACACCTTCTTGCGTTGTGTCGACGGTGTCTACGGTTTGTCACGTAAGCGGATGATGCGATGGTACTCGTGACTGCGTGTCTGTTTCGTTTCAGGACGTCGCGAACCCGGGTGGACTTACGCACGTCGATGTCTGTTCGGTATGTACATGTTTTCATGCGCGGCCGCCTTTGTGTGTTCGTTTAACCCATCTTCTCGCTGTGGTTTTGTGATGTTTCACGAGGCATCCCATCTATTCTCGTTAAGCGTGGCAGTCAGTCACGCTGTTCGCGGCGGGGCGACGAAATATCAGACTTGTGGCTAGGATCGACCGTTTTCCGTTGTTGGTTGTGTTTTCTGCATAATATTAATGACGATGTGTTCGACGATTTCCTTGTGCTTTTTATGTTATCCCAAACACGGTAGTTCGACAGCCCACCTCTGTCCTAATAGTGCTCTATGGCTTTTCTGACGTACGTGTTTGCCGCGATGTATGCCAATGCGATGGGCCACCCATGGGGGTGGTGTCGGATGGGACATGCGGTGGTCAGGAGCTGCCACAAGGCGGGTTACGTGGGTCATTGCCCTCAATATGGCTATCGCCGTGACTAGGACGCTGCCGTCGTCAGGTGGACCGCCCGGCGTGTACTGACATTGATGACGCTCTGCCCTGCAACGTCTGGAGAGTGGAAACATTCGAGGGTTAGCTTTAGCTCTGGCCGATGCGTGACGCGTAAGCGTGTCAGTTGAAAACAATGCACATGTCGGCTCTGCCAGCATGTCTATCACCGCCCGTGTCTCCCTCGCTTCTGTGTGCGAAGTTCTGAACGTGCATGATTGTTTGTTTCAATGGCAGTTCTGAATACTACGCGGCCTTCTGTGGTCGTACGCGTCTGACAAACGCTTGGGGCCATTTTTTTTCATTGACGCGGAGATGTTTGTGAAATAGCGTTGTAAACATCCTTTCCCACTATGTGATAAACATTTCCGTTTGCGGGCTGTACAGGGCCTGAACTGAAAAGCACTATTAAAAAGCAAAAATGAATGGTTGGTAGAGTTTTCACCCCGTGAACAGCTGTGCCAGCTGTTGTTACCAGCGCCCGAGTGTGACGAGCTGGTTCCACTGACGCTCACTTCCTCGGTGTGCACGTGATGACCAGCCGGTCTGCGCACCTCCTCCAGGTGGGTGTGCCATCGCGGACGTTCGCACTTTATCCGGCCCGGCACGGCGATCGACAAGGAGGCGGCCAACAGGGGCACCACGGTCTACCTCATCGACAAACGGATAGACATGGTGCCAGGTATGCCCTACAGCACCCCATCAGCGGGGCTGCCAACGAGCGATTGTCCTGCGCTCGACCAATGTGATTATTTGGACGGAAGAGCCATTCAACTACTGGTTGCAGCTGCCTGTTGTGTAGACAGTTGGGTCAGGACAGACGCAGTATGGTACGCAGTACTGTTAGGCGCCCGGTTTTGGTAATGAAAGTAGTATAGGTTATCGGTGCATTTCTGATGTAGGTGCAGTGGTGCCGATAGTAAGCATCACTGCCAAGAGTTTAGGACAGTTTCTGTTTTCCTTTGACGAGTCACTGGCCGCTTGAGCGGGACCTGCAGAAAACTCGGGCGGGGGGGGGGGGGGGGGGGGGGGGCAGGCGTGCTTTGGCCGTCCCGAGGCTGCAGGCGAGGGTCGGCTGTCCGCAGGTTCGGGCCGCCTGACGAGCCGGCGCCGCGTTTCAGACTTGCTCAGCTCGAAACCGTGCTCGCTGCGGGGCGGCGAGGAGCGTTCGCCTTCTCCTGCTCTGGGAGGTGGACGCCGATGCCGAGATCGTTCACACCAAGTTCCACAAGTCCATCTCAGGTGGGTCGTCGCTGACAGACCCCTGTTGCTGCTGGTCCGTCCGCCCTACACATACGTAATAATATATGCTAAAAGGTTAGGTGTATCCTGTATCCTGCTGATTTCAGCGCGAAACTGCACATCAACGCAAATGAAGATTTGAGATAAGTAACGGTCCCGTTCACAAAACGCTTGCAGTTTGCAGTCAAAGCTTAACAGCATTGTGGCGCCAATGTCGTTGGGGTTTACGACGCACTTAGCTGCTGAGGCTATATGGTGTCGCTTGTCTCTCTCCTCTGGCAGGAATGACGGACACCGCGTTAGCCAAGCCCTGCACCTCTTGTTTCCCAGACCGCGCAATGGTTACCGCAGATGCGTTAACCCTTACACCATCGGTACCATTTGCAGCATTGCACCAGGCCATGCCAGCAAAAGTATAGTTAAAACCTGGGCGTGGCGATGTCGGCGTCCCGGTGGGCTGACGTAAGCCCTGCTCCACTGAGCCGGCCCACTGGCAAGTTTCAGGTCCTGATCCTGACCAACCAACTGACTGCCCCCCTCTGACACTGTCCTGCCATTAGGGGCCAGCTTCTTCTGGCCCTGCTGATCCTCTCCTGTCGGTAGCGTGACAGCTTCTGCTGGCCCTGCTGATCCTCTCCTGCCGGTAGGTGCCAGCTTTCTGCTGGTCCGCTGATCCTCTCTTGCTGTAGGTCTCAGTCATTGCTGTCCTGCTGACGTTGTCGTGCCGGCAGGTCTGTCATTGCTGCCGTGCTGATGGTGTCGTGCTGGCAGGTCAGCCATTGCTGCCCCGCTGATGATGTTGTGCTGGCAGGTCGCGGGCGGCGCTGACGTACGGTGAGGCGCAGCTGAAGATTGACGACGCCAGCCAGCAGGACGCCGTCTCCCAGTCGCTGCGCGGTCTGAACTCGCTCGCCAAAGTGCTGAAGCGGCGCCGGCTGGAGAACGGGTAGGTGTTAGTTGGCAGACGAGCTGTGCACTGCATGCCGCCAGTGGTCAGGACTACAGCGCGCACACGTTCAGTTCAAATGGCAATGAGAGATGGCCGTAGATCATATTAAAACGCCTTCAAGCTACTGGCGTGTTCTTCGCGCCTAACCCGAACCTTGTTATTTGTAGCTTGCTTTGAAAACTCCTGACCAGTGTCTGCGGACCTGGATGTGATGAACGGTGAGGGCGGGCGCCTACCCTGGTAACCGCTCGCCGCCGCGGCAGAGCCCTGCCCCGGTAATCGCTCGCCGC